ATTCCTAGGACAGGGAAAGGAATGAGGAGCCTCCCATTGCCCGGATGAATCCAGATGGTGGATCAATCATCAATCACATCTTCTCAGTGACCTCCAACACCCCTGTGACTGGCTCTTAGAATCTTACAATCTCCCGTCTTCCACAATGTGCCCTGAGCATCAGCAAGGGGTTTCATTAGCAACAATATAGGCACATGTAAGAGAAAGTACAAATTAAGAGAAAATGAATGCAGTACTGTCATGCAGATGTGCAGGGCAAAAATATTCTTTGCCATCATCCTAGAGATAGCGCAAACGTAGTAGGTGGCTATGAATTGAAACTGACTAACCAAGACACAGAAGAAATATCCATTTCTTTATTGAAATCATTCGTTTCTGACTCCAAAGCCCATCCCACACAGGGTGATGAAAAATTCAATCTAAGTCTCTCTTGGCTCCCCGCACAAATACCCAAGGTGGTATCAGGCCCTGAGTCACCATTTCAGGCTGTCCAGCCTGATGGTCCCTTCAGCTATGGAAGCCCCACGTTGCTAGGAACGTAACACCCTCTGAGAATGCTGTGATCCCTCTACACCAAAAAGCTATACCCTCTGAGACTTTGCCACTTCCTTCAACTCCTGACCCCAGGGATTCCAGCTTCTGCTCCACACCCAGCAAACAACCCCTGGGGCAGGAACATGCAAGGTTAGCTGCTTGACTGGAGGGGAACAATGAGAGAAAGACATGAACTACCACAAATTCACACCTCAATATAATAGCCACCTTTAAATCAGTAATTCCTAAATTTCACTCTTTCTTAGAACATAAATTTGAGGGCAGTTGTATCACCAAGCACCTAGAGTAAGTAGTCTCTCAACATATAATTTTGAATTGTTGAGGGGAAAAAAATAGATGGATAGATGGATGTGAGAATTGAGAGCAAATGCCCTCATATACAAATATTCCAGGAAATGGGAAAAACTTTAGAAAGTCTTTAATCTCAATGAGATCCCAGCTCCATCACCTGCCAGCCCCAGGTACTCACCCTCTCTTTGCCTTGTTTCCTCCTCTCCTGTAAGATGGGATGAAATTAGTGGTCGCTTCACTGGTGGCTGCTTCTGCTAAAATAACTTAATGCATTTTTAATGCTTAGAAGAGGACCTGGAACATGACAGGCACTCAATAAATAGGTTTTTTAGCAGCAGGAGCACACAAGAGGAAGATACGTTTGTCCTTCCAGTCATTCAGATTAGAGGTGACAGGTGAAAGAGACCTGAGCCCCAGCTCAGCTACTCAGCAGCCATGTGACCTTGGACAAGTTGCTCAACTTCTGTGCAATAAGCTGATTCTCCTGTTTAGTGTAAATAAAAGTGTGCAAAGCTTCAAATGGTTGAAAATACAGAAAAACTTATTATAAATGCAATGGTAATAGATTTCAACCTATTCACCTGTATCATTTGGTATTCCCTAGTTGAAAAGGACTTAAGTAACTTTTAAGCAAAAAGGAAGGGTATCAGGATCCACCAAACTGACATAAGCCAAAAGTTTCTTGCAGACTGGAGTGCTAATGCAGACAGCTTGATAAAGTGCCCCCAGATATCTACAAAGGCAAGACTGGTCGGTCAGTAGGTGGGAATACCGGTTGTCAGTGGCTCTAAACCTAAAAGTCTGCTCACAGGTTGAACTAATTCTGCCCTGGGGTAGTAAATGCTAAAGCAGTCCAAGTTTACAGAGCTTCTCAGTCACCTTCCTTTCCGCTGCAGCACACTCCAAGCTCCAAAGAGGGTCCCTTAGATCACAATTGTCCTCTCACCCGACACACCTAGGTTCTTAAGTCCTCAGTGTGAACTCTGTCCTCTCCAACCCAGATGCCAGGTAAGCAAAAACAAAAAAGATGGAATTATGCCCAATTATTACATATTTAAAGTACACATAATAGGGATTCAGACTATTGATCCTTTCCTGGAGCTAGCTTGTTCACCTCACCTTCAACGAACTTGAAAGGCATACAAAATCGATGCACTTTTGAATAAATTGTGTATTCTCAGCTACGTAATAAAACAGTTGCATCTGATGTTAACGCATGAGAGAACTAGAAAGAAAATAAGGAAATATAAATGTTTTAAAAAGATAAACACATTTCACCAAACCCCTCCCCTGATCAACTGAATTACATGGTTGTCTTGCCAAACATTTCCAAAATTTGACCCCAAAAATGACACTTGAAGAGATTACCCATCTGAAAGAACTGGGGCAATTCATAAATTATGAATAATATGGTCCATCCATCATAAATTATAGGGTTGACAGATAGAAAACATTTGAACACTGCCTTCCTTTTATAGTCTCATGCATTTAATCAAAGTGGGTATTTTTATTTCCCAACCCACCATTTATCAAAGAAATTACAGAAACTATAAAGCTGAAGGATAAGCACCTTAAATAAGAATTCATACTCCAAGGAAGTAAGAATCTTTCAACTTTTATTTCTAGGATACATTCATCTGGAACCTTTTTGTTTCTTTACAATTTTCCCCCTAAGAGAAATAAATACAATAAAAATATAATCCAACTACCAGCAATGTTTGTAACCAGGAAAGAATCCAAAATCTCTGGTGTAATATAGGATTTTTTTAAAAAATATAAACTTCATACCAGAAATAAAGCCTGAATATTCTCTTTTTCTTTAAAAATATAATTTTTCCTTCTTTACTCTTCCATGTAAATCTTATAATCACCATTTAGTTCTAGTTTTAAACTAGTAATTATAACACTATAGCAGTTTTTTCCTACTTTGTATTCTGTTCTGTAAGTCAACTAACAATTGCAGAGTGTTTTTTAAAAAATGACACTAGGTTGTAACAAGATTCTTCAGGACATAATAATCATTAAAAAAAAAAATTCCCCGTGAACAAATTGAAACTTACTTCACAAATTGCATTGTACAAAGAAGTACTTTTACAAATTATAAAGCTCTAATGGAAAAATTTTTTTAAATGTTTTGGACTAGAAAGACTGCTGAAAAGAACATCAGGGACAGAAGGCTGTGAAATCTTTTTTCTGTTAACTATTTTGATTTGGGGAAGGGGTTGATAAATTGCAAATAAGATGGGGGTACAGGTACATGGGTACCCCACAAAGACAAAACGGTTTGCAGTGATATATGACTATTTTTCTTAACTGAGAATAAAGACTAAGGGGCATAGGAGTAGCCACAATGCTTTGCAACAGACTGAGAAGTCAGGTCAGCTGTCTCCAGCTAGGAACAAGAAATAATAGTATTTACTCCACTTCTGAGTAGCTCCCCTATGCAGAGCTTTATTACTTGAAGTATAACACATTTTAAACCAGTATTCCATAGCCCAACTTAAATGGTCTGGAAATGGACTCCTTTCTTTAGATTAGGAAGATAATCGAAAGGCCTGATTATAAACATAGGTACAATACACCTGAACCAGAGTGACACTCTAACCTCACCTCTAAAACAGCATCAACCAGAACAACTTTTTAGGGTATTCTGTAAAATTATAGGATGCTAAGCAAAGGAAAAAAAGTTTGGAAACAGTAACAATCACGAGGGCTTCCATCTTGTTTGCTAGAATGCAAAATGGTCCTAAGAGAAACTTCTTTCCATGAGCTACCATAATGAAACTAGAGGCTTGTAAAGACAGACCCACCAATGAAGGGCTGCAGGAACTTGGTCATCTGTACCTGAAAAACAGATGACCAAAGTATCCTCAATTACGTAAAATTTACGATGAGTGAACAAACAAGAGGGAATGGGTCTGGGTTGCTGCATAAAAAGGCTTTGCTGACAAGAGTTGAGCGAGTCAGGCATGCTGGAAGAGGGGGCCAGAAGGGGCTGTGGAGCCTCCCCTCCTAGTTTCTGAATGATGATCCTGCGCTGTCTCGGAGCAGGCCGAGCTTAGCACAGGGAATGGGCTAAATGACCTTCTAGCTTCTCTTTGGTCCTCTGATGCACTTAACTCCTTTCTTTAGTGCTGTCTTTCCCCAAGAGAATATTCAGGCCATTTAGTTTGGGGGTTTGTTTTTTTCTGCATTAGTAAGAATTATAAATTAGCAATTTGGAATATCTCTGAGTATCTTACGTTAGTATGTGATACCTTGAATAATAAGAATGTAGAACTTAAATGTCATTTACACAAGTCAAATAAGCCCATGTCATACTTTTATAATTCTATATTAATAAAACTCAGCTACGGTTTGTAAAAACTTTTTGCCAAGGTTTTAACTATTGGACTTTAAACCACTTTCGATATTCCATGTAAGGCCATTTATATTGCAGTAACAATCCTTCATGTTTTCTACATACAACAAAGTTAAAGATTTTTTAAAATATACATATATTTTTAAACCAATTCACTCTTTTACAATCACACCTTCAGTCCAATATTTAAAAGATGAACCCAAACTGTCAATGAAAACAACAGTGGACCAAGTGACAGCATCATTTAAATGAAACAATAATGCAAGAAAAGGTCAGCATTAAAACTTAGATAATAAACAAAACTGATTCACTGGAAAACTGCTCATATGCCTGATGTGTTCAAAAGTGAACCTCACACAGAAAAGAGACCCCGCTGTGATACCAGACAACTCATTCCTTTTTCATTCCAAGAAGACTGTCTCACTATTTTTACTGAGGTTCACACAGTGATTAGTTATCCTAACAGCAGAGATTAATATTAAATACAAAGCCTATTCCAGAATTGGCATATGCTCTCAAAAACTGTTTTGTGTGCTCCCTGAATTATAAAATAGTCCAATCTTTAGGAGAGTAAAAATGAAAGGGGTTAAATCTATTCATATACATTGCACATTAAATGTTACTAAGACAGTAAGATAGAAAAATGGAATAGAAGGGCACAGTAATTTTCTTTAAACAATCCCATTATATTGGACAGTATTGTGAATGATCTATTTTAATCAGGTATGAAAAAAAGATTACCAGAATTTGTACCAATTTCTTGGAGAAGCTAATAAAACATTAAACATACATATTCATTTGAATATTTATTTGAAGAATCTTTGGTAGCAACTGTGTTTCTTCCACATTATAGGACTTTTCAAAATAAACATCAAAATTAATTTGCTAATCAGCATATGAAAGATAAATTATGATATTATTCTTTTCGTTTTCCCATAACTTGCACTAATCATGCACTTAAACAGTTATCTGTTTAACTCATGTACATATAAATGAGAGACTAATACCAGGAAGAAATTAAGACAGTAATGAGAATCAATGACAAAACATAACAATAACAACTGTTCTTAAGTAATTTATTTTTAAATTATAAGATTACAATGTTTTGATTATGCAAAATAGCATAATGGAAATTAAACCAAATCAATAAACCAAAAGAGAAAGAAAACTTTGTTTTCTTTAATAACAGTACTTAAACCATCATTGTAAGTATCTGATGTCCCAATCATGTCTTATGTAGACATAAGAATAATCATTTCAAACGTTTCACTTGTGGGTTTAATTTCTCATTTTCAACTTTTATGAACTGTAATATGATTTATTTCAAATCCTATCATACCTAGTGTTTATACTGCAACCGCAGCAAATCTTACATGTGCAATCAAATGTGGAACTGGGGCACAGCTTTTAGCTTTTAGCCGCAGACAAAAATTATACACTGCATTCAGTACAATAGAATACGTTGTATTAACCAGAGCGTAGAGTTTAGTACACTTATTGCAGGATTGGTATTTCTTTCCCTTTGAACTGAACCAGCTGAACTTCTGAGCTGACATATTACGGCTGTGGATAGTAAGACTGCTGTGGGGGCTGAGGGAAAGGGTATGAAGGCTGCTGGGGTCCTGGGTATGGAGCCTGTCCAGGGCTCTGATGATACATTGGTGGGTATGGCATATTATACTGGCCGTATGCATAAGGATTATAGCCCATGGGCATGGGCATTTGGCAATACCTGATGGGAAAAAGAAAACAAAAGAACTGGATTGGTAAATGAAATACTAAAAAGATGAAACATATAACAATTATTCTAAAACCAATTTTTATCAAGAAAGTCATTTTTCCCCATTTCTCAGTCTTATTAAACAGTGAAGAGAAAAAACAGCTATTTCAAGGTACTTGTTAGAGAAAAGTGTTCCTATCCTGTTATTAATTAATGAAAGAATATCAAGTTCACTACAATGAGCATAAATTTACTGTTTATAAATTTCTAATATTTAGACAACAGAAAGTACTATCTGAAGCACATGTTAAAAGGTAGTCAAATGTCTTCCTTTTTAAGATTAACAAATTATCACAAAGCAAGCTGATCTTTAAGAAAGCACATTCCACATTTAGACTTCTGTTCAACAGTTTATCAGAATGTCAAGATTTCAAAGTATAGGTATGTAAATAAGGCCCTATCAGTCTTGCTATGCTAAGTTCCAAGAAGGCCCTGTTTATCACCTAAATAAACAAGACCATGGAAACCCATTCTGACTTCCATCCAGAAGAGATGTATTTAACATAAACCCATTATGTAAAAATTAAATATGTAAATTCAATAAGCTTAGGAAATGATTATCCAACTACTCAAATAAGTGACTATAACATTATTTTTATTTCTGTACCAGCTGATAATGTAGCTTACTCATTCATGACACCTCCTTTCAAGGGATGACACTATTTTTTAAAAGGCTAACCAGAGCTAGAAACATTAGCCAATTCATAGGCATATGTAAAGTTTCAGCCTTACCCGGGAAATCCTGGATAGGTGGGATAGGGAGGTCCTTGGGCCTGTGGAAGGGGACCTGAAGCAGGAGTTTGTGATGGAGCTGGTGCAGTCGTCCCAGTCCCCACTGGAGCTGAAGCAGTAGCAGAAGGAGCTCTATTTGCTGGAAGTACAGGAGGTGGAGGCCGGGCTGGGGGCTGGGGCTTAGCAGGCTATAAGAAAAAGTCAACATTGACTACAAAATGTTTCATGTTTCTCTCAAACTGCTATCAACTAAAACAAATGAAAGCATATGAGAAACTCTAGAATCCAACCAGATATATCTCTAATTCCCATTCTTAAATGTTGGCTTATTATTCTAGAAATGCACCATGGTTGAGGAATAATTCTCCAATTTGTGGATATGCCACAGCCACTGCCCTGGTCCTGATGTCTAGTATTTAACCACTTACTGCTCATACTGCTCACACCAATGGTCAGACATTTGAGGTGGGAGGTAGGAGCAGGTCTTGCTGTAATCTCTTCCTGGCCTCAACATATTTTAAATGAAAATTTTCAAATACTAGAAAACTTAAAAGAATAGTATAATAAACAATCACATATTTAGCAATTAATTTGGTAATTATTAACATTCAGCCATATTTGCTTAATCTATAGATATGTCCATGTATTTATCTACACAATTGCAGAATCATTTGAAAATTGTAAATTTCATGACACTAGCCCTAAAGACTTCAGCATGTAAGTCCTCATATTCTCCTATATAATCACAATACCATTTCAACCTAAGAAAATTAACAAGTATTCCTTAATGTCATCAAGTATCCATTTCACATTCGAGTTTCCCTCATCACAAAAAAGTTCTTAAAATGTATTTTTATGAAATAAGATCCAATCAAAGTTCATGTATGCATTTGATTATTATGACTCTTTCCTCTCTTTTAATCTAGAACATGCCCTCCACCTATTTTTTTCTTTCTATGACATTTACTTTTTTAAAAGACCAAGCCAGGTACCTCATAGAATGTCTCAGTTATAAATTTGTCCAACTGTTTCCTAATGGCACAATTTAACTGCTTGTTTTAACACTGTATTTACTATAAGCTGCAAGTTCGTTCTAAAAACTTGATTAGATTTTTTGGCAAGAATTCACACGTGATGCTGTATTCTTCATATTGCAAAACATCAGAAAGATGGTCACCTGATAAAAGTGGTGACATCAGATTTCTGCAATTTAAAGTCTTTTATCTTTTACAGCAAGCAAGCTGTCACTAACGTAAAACTTCCATTTAAAATGTGTGTGCTTACTGACCGTCATGGTTCTTGGTGCTGGAGTTGGAGGAGCTGGAGAGGACTGATATGCGGGTGTAGGAATTGAAGGAGCACTAGGTTCTCTGGCAATGCTTTGTTGTAAGTCCCTTATTAAAGACAAAAGTGTTATAAATTAGAACAATTTAAAAAAACATAAAATACCAGGTCTTTTTCTTACTTTTCTTCGTACCTGAAACACAGAAAATAGACTCAAAATAATGATGGTATTTTAAAACATGCTATATTTCTGTTCTGGACCATAACTAGCTTAAATCTCCTTTCTCCTTACTATTTAATAAAATGAAGTTAATTCTTATTCTACTTCTGAACACTAGGAAAATAAACTTTTTCAGAGACCATAGTAATAGCTAGAGTAAGAAACATGTCAAACTGGGCAAGTGCTCCTAAAAGACTGCCCACTCTTAATAAGAGATCATCCCCTAGATGAGAAACTCCTAACACAATAACCTACCTAACAGTTATCAGAAAACCAAACTGCTCACAGTCACCTACGTAATTTTAATCATTGTATTATATTAGTATTTACAGAACAGGTGAGAAAGCTAACGTACTCAAACCATTTTGCAAACTTCTGAATGAAGACTTTCTGAAGATATTCAACAAAATGTGACACTGAGATATTTCATGTTAACAGATACATCAAAACCTATTATTAAGGTAAATTCATCTTAGATTGCTGAAATGACCATTAAAATACAGTATTAAAAACCATAAAAATATTTTAAAATCCCCAACAATAAATTGAAATCCATCCCTAAATCTCAATAAACAAAACAGATGTGCTATAAGTGGAAATTATACACCAGATTTCTAAAATTTAGTCTGGAGGAGGGGGAAGTAATACCACCTTCATAATTTTTGTATTGATTATATATTGAAATGATACAATTTTGAATATACTGGGTTAAACAAAACATATTATTTTAATTAATTTTACCTGTTTCTTTTCATTTTAAAGTGGCTACTAGGAATTTTACACTTTCAATTATATAGGTGACTGCATAGTATTTCACTGTACAGACGGAGCTTTACTTCACCAATCCTAGACATTGTTTCTGTTACTGCTTCCAGCAATACTACACAGTTGTGTTTGAGAACATTCATGCCCACGCTACTTACAATAGCCCAAAACTAAAAGCTATTCAAATAATAACAGCAGATAAATAAACCTGTAGTACATTCATACAATGAAGTATATACAAAAACAAAATAAAAGATACACAACTGCACACAACTATATTGCTGAATCTCAAATATAATGTTGACTGAAAGCCAGTCACGAAAGTGTAGATATGAATCCACTTATGTACAGTGCAAAAACAGGATAAACTAGTCTATACTCTAACAGTCAAGATAGTGGTTGCCATGGGGAAGTTGGTAATGACTGTGTAGATGCATGAGTTATGCTTCTGGGGTGTTTAGAATGTCCTGTGTATTAATATACACATTAATATTATATTAATTGTATATTAATACAATTAGTGCATGGGTATATTCAGTTTGTGAAAATTCATTAATTGTATGTTAATACAATTAATGCATGGGTATATTTAGTTTGTGAAAATTCAACAAGACATACACTAATATATACTTTTCTTTTTTTATATTTTATTTTATATTTTATATTAAAAAATGTTTTAAAGAATTTAGGCCCTGAATATTAACAGTGATTTTAACAAAATAAACATGCCGATTTTTAAAAGCTAATATTTTAACTATTTGGCCTACTTTTCCACCATTCATTCACCTTTCAATCACTGAGCTGAAACCGCTTGACAAGCTTATAAACTGTCTCAGAACTGATTTTGTTTATCAATATAGAAATACACATGCAAATAGTGATGAGCCTAACTTTCAAACTAGAAATCTGAAATACAGAGTATTTGAAAATGAGACTATCTAGAATTTTCTTCCTAAGCCATGAACTTCTATTATGCTATAAAACTCTAAAAATAGTTATTTTAGCCCTTTTTATACTGAAAATTTAAATAAAGAAACTAACAATCCGACTAGGAAATCAATTATCATTACAAGAAAATGATTTAAACTGAAGGTTGGCAAAAATTTTGTGTGTAAAGAGCCAGACAGTAAGTATTTTATGCTTTGCAGGATACAAGGTGTCTTGTCACAACTACTCAATGCTATTGTTAATGAAAATGAAAATGAAAATGAAGAGAGTGGCTGTGTTGCAATAAATACTTAAAAAATAAGCGGCAAGCTGGACTTAGCCTGAGTTGCCATATTTTGCCAACCAGCAATTTAAACTTAGAAATCTTTTTCAGCCTTTTTCAGCTCTCACTTGGTCCTGAGCTACAGAATTCTGGGGATCTGAACGGATGTCTCAATGGCTACTGCTTGAAAGCAAAGGAAAGAGGGACAAAAGGTCCCACTCCACGCCCCTGCCCCTGCTTGGATCTGAGCTAGATCTATTTTTAGATTTTACAAACAGGGTTTTTCTGTAAGATTAGTTTGAACAAAGGGTTCTACAGTTCAAAAATAAAAGGGAGAGGGGAGATGCACACAATCAGAAAGATAAAAGCCATAGATAGTACTTGATTTTGATTATAAAAACATGAAATCCCATTAATTTTCTGAAAGAATAATAATGTATTCATTCACATGACTCAAAAACCAAAAAGTGAGCGAAAGACCCCTATCTGCCAAGTTCCCACTCCACTATTCACTCCCCCAGATAGCCACTATTCTTTTTCTTATAAGCCCATCCAGTTTTCCTTATGTAAATGTGTATTTTTCTCCCTTTTTACATAAAAAGCATACTTTACAAATTGTTCAGTCCCTTACTTTTTTTTTTACATTAACTACTTATTTTAGATATCTTTCCATACCAATTCACATTCTTTCTTTTTTAAATAGCTGCATCGTATTTCACTGTACAGATGTCGCTTCATTTATTTGACCAATTCTGGACATTTGATTTGTTTCTATTCTTTTCCTGCTACAAGTAATGTAGGATCAATCAGCTCATAAATATGTCATTTCTAGCATAAGCTAATATACCCTCAGAATAAATTCTCAAGTACAGAATAGCTGGCTTAAAGGATATATGAATTTATAATCCTGACCTTGACAGCTAAATAGCCCCACATAAGGACTGCACCAATCTGCACTCTCACAGCAATGTATGAGACCTGTTCCCACATATTTGCCAACAAAGCATGTTATACAACTTCTAGATTTCTGTTAAATCTAAAAAAATGTCATTTCTGAGTAATTTTAATTTGTATATTTTATGTTAAATGAGGTTAGGTATTTTTTCATATGCGTAAGAACTACTTGTTTTTCCTCTGCAAAATTGTTTGCATCCATTGCCAATTTAGGTTTTTTTTAATCCTCATTAAAATCTAGGATTTCCTAGTAAATAAGGCTTCTGCCTGATGTTTCCCCAATTTGCTACAATTTGACTCTGCTTATCATGTTATGATGAACTTATCCTTTTTTTAATGGCCTCTGAATTTTAGTCAGAGTTATAAATTATAAAGACCCTCTCCATTTCAACTTTATTAAGGAGTTATCCCATATTCTCTTTTATACTTTACATTTCATCTTACACACTTTAAGTTTGATCTACTTGGAATTTATTCAAGTATAAAAATCACTTTTGTTTTCTAAATGACTAGGCAGTTGTCCCTAACTTCTTCTAATTAGTTTAGGATCTTTCTTACACTAAATTCATGTATATATTTGAATCTTTTTCTATTTTCTAGTCTGTCTTTGATCTAATCATGTACCAGTACCATTGTGTTTTTAATTAGAGAAAATATTATATATTTTAATATCTCATAGAATTAGTTTCCCTTTACTGTTCTTTTTATTCAGTTTTCCTGGCTAATCTCATTTGACTGTTTTTCTACCTGAGCTTTAGGATAAACTTGTCCAGTTTCAAATGAAAATCTGTTGATTTTTTTAAAATCAAAATTATGTTGAATGCATAAGTTTATTCAGAATTAACATAGTCATGAATTTGAGTCAACCAAAAACACTGTATATTTTGACATGCTCAAGTCTTTTGTGACACTTGGCTGTCTAAAGGATCCTGCCACTATCTTTTTAAGGCTAATAATTTATATGCCTTGGTGTTGGCAGTTCTTGCTAATTTTTCTAACCATAAAATCCTTTCAACAAGCCTTTCCTTGTTTTAGGAAATGGTTCTTCAGTATTATCATTTAAATATTTGTTTTATTCACAATTTTGGCTTTTCTTCTTAGAGGGGAATTCAATCTTACACATACTGAATCTTCTTTGCCTATCTCTCTCTAATTCTGTTTTGGTTTCATTTTCTTTGATTTCCGCATTTCTAGTCTGTATTCCTGTGTTTTCTTCACTGCCTATATTCTCCTTTTGTGTTCCTTCCCATTTCATCTTATATCTGTGATGGTTTTATTCTCTTCTTCTTTCCTGAATTCTGACACATTTTATCACTTCTTATTTAATCATCGCCTTGAGTTCTGATATTTCTGTTTTTGGTGTGCCTTAGAGAAATTGCTTCCTAACCTTTATTTTTGTTTCTTAATTCATGGTGAAATGTTAACCCAGCATTTTCATCTGTTCTGTGACAATATTATTCTGGTGAATGTTCTTCATCTATTAAGTTGTTAAATTCTGTTCACCTTTTCACCTTCATAAATATACTCTCTTCCTATCAATGCTGGCCCAGCTTTCTGAGTAGGCTCCTTCAGAAAGTGATTTTGCTGATACTCTCTGAGCTATTCACCCTGTCTTTCCCATGTTCTGTGCCTCTAGTGTATGTAAGGGACCTATCTGCCACTTTGTAGTAAACTGCTTATGTTTACTGGCATTTCCTGAGATCTGCCACCGTGAGCTGTTTTGTTATTTGTGACATCACTGTACTTCCTATCTCGAGAGTTTCTGCTCTTTTTATCTTTTTGTTCCCAGATCGTACAGTTGTTTGCTTGTTGATGTGTAAAATATCCAGGGAAAAAGAAAGGAAATTGCTATTTCATACTGCCAAGTTCACCCCAAATGTCTCCTCCACGTGGAATTTTTAAAAGAAAAATACTTTAAGTACAATTTGATACACGAAACAAACTTACTTTAAGAGTTCATCTCTTTCTGTCTTCCGTGCAAAAACTATATCACTGCATTTGTTCTGGAACCTGACCAGGATTTCAGTCAGCTCATTATAAAACTATAAGCAAAAAACAAATACAATAAACATGAACAATTTTTTATATAAGGAGAAACAAAATCTAAAGCTCATTTGTCAATAATGGTTAAAACTAAAGAACCAAAATCTTGTTCATGAGACACAGTCATATCACTTAAGTCCAACAACTTAATATTAAATATGACCTAAATTTCCCAAAGAAAATAATAAAATCACTTTTAGAGAACAATGTCACCAAAAATTAAATGGTAAGTTTCACAATCATTAAGATTTTCCCAATTCCTAAAGTCAACTATTTAATAAAGACACTAAACCTATTTAATTGGAAGAACTAGATTTGTACTTTCACTTCAGAAATGCAGAAATTCCTTAAAAGAATTTCCCAAGAGTCTCTGGATTGTTTTCTCAGCTTATCTATTTCAATAAAGCATTTTAAACCAAATTAAAATATTTCACTACCCTCCCTATTTCAAAAAGCTCTGCATTATTTCTACCCTCTCTTCATAGGGCTTTACATTCTATGTACTATATTTACATCAAGATAACTTTATTCAATGAACATTATGGAGTTAAAGTATCAAAGGGGTGGCGTATCTGAAAAGCTTAAAAATCACTTGTTCACTCATAAGCAAAGTAATTGGTAAAAACAAATATAAGCACTTCTCTTAACTTTTTAAAGGGAAAAACAATAAAATACGTAAAACATATTTAGTAAGCACTCTGATACTCAGGCAATTACAAGTGTATCATTATCCAAACCATTAGCACAGATTATAAAAGCCATTCCCACCGACCTTCCCCACCACAGATTCAGTTTTGCCTATTGTTTCCTCATAATTCACTCAAATTGGTGAACTTTCCACCCTGCAAAAAAGTGTCATTGGTTTTTGATATCTCTGTGCTAATTCTTGCTACAACAAATGCCTACACCCCTTTCTGCCTGGCAAAATACAAAATGCATCAAAGTTCCCAGGAAATGTTGCCAACTTCATTAAGCTCTTATAACAAAACTCTCAGAGACAAAAGACATTAAAGCTAACAAATTTGAAGGAAAGAATAATTTGGTCCATCTGGAAAAACAACTTCCCAAACTATACTTTCACATCTATACTGGTTAGCAGTTGTTTCTTTGTACATCATACCTTTGTGCCCTCCTTCAAATTAGCTACAAGTTCAACAAAGTTGTCATATGCAGTAGCTAAATTCTTCAAAACTTCTTCTCTTAAGTTAGCTTCATTGTTAGATTGTTTCATTTTAGAAAATTCCTGGTGTGAGACCTTGTTAAAAAAAAGATTTATGAATTACATTTATCAAATTAAAATAGCTCCTAATATTTTTATTGCTATTTTTCTAACTATGAAAATCATCTATGATTACATGCAGGAATTACTAGAAATTTACCTAATATTTCTTTTGGAGTAGCACAGTACTTTAAATGTTTAAGTAAAATACCACAAATTCAGTACATGTCAAAACAATCAAAAATGATTAGATTCCTATTAATATGTAACAGTTGCAAAAAACACAATCTTAAATGAATACACATTTAGTCCAGAATTATCTTTTCTGTAATTTTTTAAAACATAAATCTTATTAAAGTATATAAACTTCACCTGAATATTTTTAAGAAGTCCTTCCTGTTTCTTTAGAGATTCTTGGACTTTAGTGGTGAGACCTCCATAGACTCGATCCAGTTCAGTAACAGAAAGAGCTTCTTCATTTATCACACCATCTTGAGCCAAAGCAGTCAAAAATTTGCTTGTCATGTCAAAATTCACTGATTTCAGGTCATTCTCCAGACTCTCTCTTTCCTTCTTTACTTCATCAAGATTTGTCAATAAGGATTTTAAGACATTTACAACCTAAAAATAACAAAAACAAAAACCTTTATTTAATTGCCAAAAACACAGAAGCCAATTTCAAGAAGGGACTTATAACAAAGGTTCACTTATAAGTGGAATCTAAGAAACAAAAAGAACAAACTAATCAAAAACAGATTCACAAATATAGAGGACAATCTGGTGCCGGCCAAAGGGGAGCAGGCCGGGGGGCTGGGAGAATGGGGTGAAGGGTTAAAAAAGTACAAATTAGTAGCTGATACATAGTCACAGGATGGGGAGCATAGCATAAGGAATGCAGTAAGCATTAATGTACTGGCTAGGTAGAGAGCCAGAGGCGAGAAAGAGCAATTAGGGGGATCATTTTATGTAAATGTCTAACCAATGTACCATATACCTGAAACTGATAAAATTAAATAAAAAAAGAAATTCAGAGTCAGGGAGAGATTTCTCAGAGAGCCAAGTACAAATTGTACATCAGATTTAGATATAGACATTGTAGCTTTGATGAACTCAGAGTTTAACAGCAGCAGCAAAAATAACACTGGCCAAAAGCTACAATTTACTGAACATTCATTATGTTCCAGGCACTGTCCTAAGCACTTCAAATATAATTCAATGTGTTCCATATAATATCCCATATGGTATATATTACCTCTATTCCCCCATGAAGAAGTTGAGTCTCAAAAACTACGTAACTCACTCACAGTTACAAAGCTACCAAAGAGCAGATGTAAAATCTGAGACCTAAGTCTGCCTGAGTCCAAAACTAATCTCTTATCCACTCTACACTAGACTGCCTACCTCTTATGACTTTGAGGCAGGGGAAGGTGAGTTTTTGCCAAGTAAGCAGATACCCTATTTTGCCAACACAGGAAAACTGAGAGAGACTTATGGAGAAAGTAACGGAGGCAGAAATAGAGACAAAAATATAGATGGAGAGAATACTTTAAAGAGATAGAAAAATAGATATAACAGAAAGCTATAAACCACACGCTTATTTTATATACTGGGAGACAAAGAAGGAGAGAGGGTTCTTTCATTAAGAATTTTACATCTCTTATTCAGTCCAGGCAGTCTCTGATTTATATCCATGTGATTCATAAATTCCCCTTTATAGTAACAGTGTTATAGTGTTCAAGTGTCCTCTAATGCCATTTACAAGTTTTCCTCTTTCACTCCAATCTCTTCACACTTTTGTTAGGACCATCAGGGAGAACACCAGCCCCAATTCCCATATCTGCTTGCCCCAATGATGCTCATAAAAAGAAAGCTGAAGAAAAGTAAAAGGAAGAAGGGGATATCCGTGAACCCCATCTACGCCAATGTTTCTTCTTACCAGCGGCATTTCCAACTCCAATGGCTTTCCTCATCAACTGCCTATTTCTAAGAATTTCTGTCCACTCTTCATCCCAGTCCTAGTTAATTCCTTGACAGGACTGTCCAGAGTAACCCTCTTTAGAAGTCAAAAGTTTCTTTTAAATCTAGGTGACCTTCCTTTTGGCCTATGTTTACCAACTATATCTTTTAAGTGTCCTAATCTTAATACTGAGTCAATTTAAAAAGAAAAAGAAAAAATGAGGGTGTGGGCAGTAGAAAGAACTACGACTCCTTGAGGTCCAAGAAGCATCAAATCAGGTACTCTAAAAGGAAGAGGAGAAAGAATCATTCATACTTGGGTAAACATGACAAAATCTGTTCAAGGAACCTAAGTACAATTTGATGTTAATAACATGGATTAAAAATCTCACAGGATATACTAGTAAATGAAGAAAAAAAATGTGCAAAAGCATATATATACAGTATGCTGCATTTTTAGTGAGAGAAATCAAAATGTAAAGATATACATACACATAATATTTTATGCATATATGTATGCTAGTGCATTTTTTGCAAAAAAAGAAAAACATTAAGGACAAACCACAAACTAATGAATACGGTTACTTATAGAAAGTGGATGGGAACAAAGTGGAAAGAAAAGGAATGAGATTTCTCTGCATGGCCTTTTGAATCATGTATATTTTTTACCCATTCAAAACACAATTAAAATTAAATCAAAACTTGTATGCAAAAACAAATGAACTAGTTATCCATGAAAGTGAAACATAATTACACAGAAAAAAAATTTCAACTCTGACTATACTCCCTTAGTAGTTGTAATAGACTTAGCTAGTATGTAACCAAGGGCAGTTTGCTGTCTGGAAAACTCAATTTTCTCACCTGAAAAATGAGAATAATACTGATACCTAGCTCAGGACTGTTGTGAAGACTACAAAAATCCATATAAAATGCTCAGCATAATTTCTAACAGGCCAAGTGTTCAATCAGTAGCCATTATTATTAACTGGTACTTAAGTTGTATGGTTTAATGCTACACTTTGGGTACATGATGGACTGAAGAGGCTCAGGCATCCAAGCATTTAGACAGGGACAGGGAAACAAGGAACAAGAGAATTAAGACTTAAAGCATTCTTTATTTTGCTGAATTATAACTATTTTTGTAATTATGTGACATATTTTGTATTGGGGGATGCAAATGGATATAAATTTAAAAAGGCTGCAACAGTATTAACTGTTGGCATATTTAAATTGACAACGGAACTTTAGCCATGACTTTGACTTAAGACTTTACCCTACATGAAGTCTGTTTAGCTATTAGAAAAATAAGAAATGACATTTTAATCTCTCTATAAGTTATGTCCAACAAAAGCTAGGAAGAAAAAAAATCAGCCAAGCAAAATAATCTGGGAGAGAAATAGGAATATGCAGAAGTGGTTTAAAAAATTGTCTAACAAACAAAGTTGAGTCAGGAACACTAACAGTTATTATCCTGAAACAGACTCAACGTCTCTTATATAGTATAGAAACTAAGATCCTAAGATCCTCTCACCAAATAGTGAGTCAAAATTGTGGTGATAATACTGCCAAGTTAGCTAGTAAGTATTCTGAGAAGACAGACACGGTTCACATGGACACAAATTCCTCTTCAGTGAAGAACTGTACACAAGGAAGCAGAGTGATTTGGGAAGAGAACCCCTTCAAGATTTTAAGAAGCAAAAGTTGTAATAATACCAGCTGCATTATCAAGAAAAGCTAACTTCCTAACTTTTATGGTAGTCGGTTTTCTAACCAGAGTGGTAAAGAAGGACCAAAGAACTATTTATTAAGTCTTATTCCATATCATAATGCTATGATTCTAAGTCTCTAAAAAATATGCCATTTGAAACAACCAATTTATAAATGAACTTTTAAACTACCACATAGAGATTCATTCTATGACAAACATCCTTTTGTTTTAACTGTCACAGAACTAGTTTAACCATTTCAGATAGCTGGCCACATTTTAACAGAGTAAATAATGTAGAAAATGAATTAGATCACTTCCACAAGAGAATGACCCAGATAATAAAGAAAAGGAAATCACTGCCTAAATAAACTCAAGTCTGAGGCTTAACATGTTATCATGTTAAAGTATATAAATAATTAGAATCCTGTGGTATTTATCTGTATGTTTTATAAATGGCTCCAATTAGCTTTCAACTGCAAGCAATTACATCCCTTTATTAAGTGAGAGTGACAGTGGTTATCATTCAAATACTTTCTGAATCCTTATGTGTTAGGTATTGTTCTAGGTGCTAAATTAGAGTCCCCTGGGGGAGGGGGATGATTAAATAAATAGACAAAGAGAGTCATATGGTAGACAATCACAAAAAAATGAGGAAGGAAAGAGAAGCAAAGGGCAAGAGGC